TAAGTGAGGGGACACATCGGAAGGATGGATGGCAGCCTTTAAATAGCTGGTCGTGGAGGTGGCAGAGTGTGGGCTGAGTTGTGGTTTGGTGCAGGTTGGCTAGCCCCCTTGAAGTGGGGCTTAGCTTTTTGCCCGGGCTCCTCCTGTATCGAGGAAAGGAAGGAAGGAAGGAAGGAGAAGAGTAGGAACCACTTCAAGATGCTCAGGACGGCAATCAGCTCAACATACTCTCGACACGTGTAAGCTTGAATTCTCTCTCGGCTGAGATCCAGAATGAAAACCCACCAATGTGTTTGGAAACTATTGACATCTAAATCCTCAACCAAGCACAGGAAAATCTAGGGCGTTCTCCACCGATCGTTTGGTGACAAGGTCGCAATCATCCAATGCGGTTCGTACTTTGAAATACTCAGGAGTTCGTGCTCAATAATATATGGATACTGAAATCCTCGATGCTTTTTTTTATAGCCCCTTCTCTTCAACCTCGCCGCCCGGAGCCCAAGGTTCCTCCGACCCTCAGTGGCCACCAATCCATCAAGTTTGAATTCCAGGAGAGCGTATTCACTATGGCCTTTCGGGGGCGGATCATCCAAGCCATCACCACCAACGGAGGAACAATCAGCCGCACAATGCCCTGTTGTCGAGAAGCCTGCCGAGACCATCACACCCATCACAGCCCCCGAGACATCACTAAGCACACCCGTCGAGCCGCAACTGGACCAGATACTTGAATCGACATCAGCTAGCCAAGAACTTGCAGCATTGGAGCTCGAGCATGGTTTCCTTGGACGATGTACGAGCGGGGCGATCGAGAATGTGCTCTGTACGCTCCACGACCAACTAGCCTTGCCATGGTTCTTGACCATCCCCGTCGTCATCGTCGGGCTTCGAACGGTCCTGATTCCCATCAACGTCTGGTCGATGAGGATCGGGGCCCGGAACATGATCGTCAAGCCCTCGCTCGACCTCAAGATCTCCAAGATCAAGGAACTCCAAACTCGCGGAGAACAACATAAGGCGCTGGCCGCCCAGAACGAGCTGAGAGCTTTCATGAAACAGGAAGGCTTCAGACCTCTCGCGCCCCTCGGCCTGCCCCTCCTCCAGGGAAGTCTCTTCGTCTCCTTCTTCTGGGCTCTACGTGAGATGGGAAGTCATCATCTACCTAGTCTGACTACCGAGGGCGCCCTCTGGTTCACCGATCTCACCCTGGCCGGTCCTTGGTATGGCTTACCGTTGATCGCTTCTGGTTTGACTCTACTGAGTGTTGAGGTTAGTTCCCTTTTTTTGTATGAATCTTCTTGGCGTCCAACCTTATCAATACTCTATTGACACCTCTGTATCTTTTGTTGACCTCAAATAGACTGCTTCCGAGATGGGCGGCTTGAAAGCAGGTCAGAGCCAAAAGGTTATGTGGTTTTTACGAGCTGTGATTGTTGGAACCCTATGGTTATTCCACGATTTACCTTCAGTCAGTCCTTAGAATTCGACCCTTTTTTTTTTTTTCAACGCTTGATGAAAACTGGCGCTCCAACTAATGATAATTTGGTTGGATTGATCATCAGGCGGTATTTCTATACTGGTGTACAAACAACATGTTTTCGTTACTTTGGGGGACGTTTATCCGGCTGATCCCGAAGTCATTGAAGGCCAAACTAGGGATCCCCGATACCGCTGCGATCAACGCAAGTCAAACCACCTCGACGACTCCCACTCCCAGCTTCCTCGACGGATTCAAAGCCGCCGCATCTTCCCCTTCGTCTACTCCTCCACCATCCTCTGCTTCGTCTAGTCCTTCTGTAGCTGCTGCTGCTGCTGCTCATCACACTCTTCCTATCTCGCCCCCGCAGCCCATCCTTTGGCAAAAACCTGCTCCTAAACGCACTCTCAAAAATAATCCTAAGAAACCTGTCACTCCTACTACTACTACTACTTGAAAGAAGAAAGAAAAATCCCCTCTTATGATGACACTTTTTTTTTATACTCAAATCTCTTCCAATCAATTTGGTCATCTTTCTTTGCCAAACTACATATTCCCCCCATATAAAAGACAAACCAGCATAGTCATTGGTGGTTACAAACCTATCCATATTCTGACATGGTATACCCACCCCAACTGATAAGCTCATAGAAATCCATACCTCTGTTTTTCATTACATATACAATACATACATCATGTGACATCTAGCTCATTGGGATGACAGAGATTGCTGTTGGTTCCCAAGGGTCAAGATTTATGCACATTCTCAATATTTATGTATACATTGTCTGTAAGTGCTTGGGTGTGATGGTGAGGGTGAGTTGTAAAGGTTGGGCTCCCGTGTCATTCTGACTCGCAAACAGATTCTACTTATCTTGAACACATACATACATCAGCAGGTGGTGAGGTCTCAAGAGTGCAAGTGAACATTTTTTATTCAGAATTGAATCAAGGATCTTAGAAAACGCAAGTCCAACTATCTATAATGTCTTTGTTACTCCAAGTGCCCGGAGGAGACCAGGATAAACATTCTAAGCACACAAGGGTATGTTTTAGAGTGTTTGGTCTGTCTGGATTTTGCAATAGAAAGAACCCTAGGGAAGAAGCGGGGAGGGAGGGGGGTGGCCAGTCATGATGGACATCCGGATTCCGAGATAGCTTGGCAATCGGGACATGCTCCTCGGCTAGGCCAGCCTGTCACAAGGCGGGATGATGGATCTGCTTATGTACACAAGAGTTTCTGGGATTTGGGAACACAGTAAAAGACAAATGGACGTCGAGAAAGAGAGAGAGAGAGAGAGAGAGGAAAGCACATATGTCTGATCGAGTCACTTCGGCACTGATTGTTGGTCCCGATTAATAGACTGAAAAGGAAGACAAGAGAGAGAAAGAGAAAAAAAAAACATGATGGTGATGATGGTGTGATGATGATATTCGGATTAGAAATGAAATGGAGGAAGGGTGTTAATCGAAGCAATCTTCGGCCGATTTACGCGCCAGACGTCGGACTTTTTTCTTGTAACTAGCGGGATCGTCGCGCGGTCCCTTGGCGGCATCGATGTTGGCGGGCGACTCGGTGTTGGGTCTTTTCGGAGGCGAGCAAGGCGGTGACGGAGACGAGCTACGAGAAGACCAGAAGAGAGAGAAGAGTCAAGAAAAAAGAAAGGGTCAGTCGAACGTGCGGGAAGGTCATAAGCGAGAAAGCGAGAGAGAGAGAGGGTATGTGGGGCTTACGATCGACTCGATCGTGTGCACCGGTAACCAGCGTTCTCCCGCATCCTCGTATCCGTATTCATCGTTCCCAGGCGGATGTAAGATCGAGATACAGACCGTCCCGTCCGGATAAACTGCTCAGCAAAAAAAAGAGGAGACGGACGTCGGGTCAGATTCGTAAGCTCTCAACACCGACTTTCAGTTGCTGCGTACTGTTGGGATGCCACATCTGAGTCGTGAATCGCAGCTTGGGCGGGAGCAGTGGGAATTCGGCGGGGAAGCTCATCCGGGCACGCAGGAATGCTCCGTCACTGTTCCAAACACATTATCACAACAGCGTCCAAAAAAACATCCAGATGAGGAGCAGGATGAGCGTTTTGGACTCAGCTAGGAAGGAGAGAAAATGAGGTGACTGACTAGAGCGTATCTGCTGGCCTTGAGAACCGGGAAAAAAAAAAAAAGGCAGACAAAAGTGTGCACAGTCAGGGATGGTTAATATGGAAGTAATTGATAATTGATGTTGTACCCAAAGATGGTGATGTCCCATTCGTAGACATCGTTGTCGTCGACCAATCCAGCGGAGAACCCTTCGACGGGTCGCTTCCTGAACTCTATTTTTTTAGTAAAGATGTGTATTTCGATGGCAAGCCAAGGTCAATAGATAATCGGAGTCTGCATTGAAGTGGGTGGGGCTTAGGAGTCCGAGTAGATGGACGCAGACTTACCGGCTAGTTGTTTTCGGAGGAGGACTGCTGAAGGGTTGGAGGCCATGGTGTGTCTGGTTTCTGGTTTCTGTTTCTTTCTTGGGTTCGGGGTGCTTGGGCTTTGGAAGTGGACTGGTGGTGGCTGGGTGGTTGGGTGGGTGGTGGTGTTGGTGGTGAGGTGTTGGTTGGCTGTGGGAGTGGGGAACCAGTAAATATCAGTCGTGGGAGAGTATGTGGTTAAGCTGGCTTTAACCCTTTTAATCCAATTTAATATACTTTTCATCTGCCAGAAACAAGTATGCACTTGCGCCCGATCTCCGCTCATCTCTGCAGATCGAATCAAGTCTTGGTTTATTTCGTGTGGATGTGCCATGCAGTCACTTCAAGAATCCAAGCCAAGGAAAGGAAAGGGAAATTATTCAAGATGCAAATGATGGTTCTGTTCATGAACCAAATTCTTGACACCTTGATCACTTGAGATTGAAGAGTGAATGCTTGGATGAAATATCCTTCTCAATGATCAACCCTCCAAATCATTGGATGTATGTCTTTTATGTCTTGGTGGACAGCTGAAAACATTCGACTGGGTTAATTAAATCTATGTTACAGGCAGGATGGGGTGGTAAGACCGTGGGTTTATGCACAGGCCAAGGTGGGAATGGAAAAGCCTCTATATTAGGGGGTATCAAATATAGGAAATCCACCATTAGAAACCAGTCACTTTTTTAAAAATATTTTTTTGCATCAATGGGCCCCAAAAGGGGTTAAATGAAGAACCAACATGTTTAAAAAAGGGTGGATTTTTTCAAACCAGTCGATTAAATAATGGTGGATTTGGTTATATTTGATACCCCCTAATTTAGGGCTTGTATGTACCCCAGTCAATTTCTCATTTTCATTTTTGATCTCTTGAATGTTTTTTGCCAACCAAAATTCATTTTTGGGGTTGGCACTGAAGATCTGGTTTCTCATGTACTGTAGGAAATTGGGTGGGCATGGTAAACCATTTCTGGCAGGGCCAATTTCTAACTTGAAAATTGGAAATTGACCTCACAATTGGGGCTGTAGTACATGAGGCCATTAATATCACAAACTCATGGGTGGATGAAGAAAAGAAAAGCTAAAGATGGCCCCACGGGACCCGGGTACCGAATGCTTTTTTAGCCAAGAAATGGCACCAGGTACCGCACCCGCTGGCATATGGCGGGTACCGGCGGTACTTTGGGCGGGTACCGCAGGTACTTTGTGTCAAAAACCCGCAAACAGTCATACAGTCTTGAGGCCGGGAGGGGTTCCTCCCAGCCTTGAGACCTTACATGGATCAACAGGCGAACCGGTTTCCAAACCAGCTTGTCGGAAGGAATCCCTTCCGACAAGCTGATCTGTATACCATCTCGTCGGGAGGGGTTCCTCCCGACGAGCTGGTTTAGACCTTCAAACCAGATGTATACAACTCGTCGGGAGGAACCCCTTCTGACAAGATGGTATACAGATCAGCTCATCGGAAGGGATTCCTTCCGATGAGTCGATTTACAGACCAGCTCGTCGGAAGGGATTCCTTCCGACGAGCTGGTTTTAAAACTGGATCGCCGGGAGGAGCCCTTCCCGACAAGCTGGGATTGAGCTGGCTGGGTGTGCAGGACAGGTGTCCTGCACACTTTTTCTTTCCTTCTATCTTTTCTTTTTTTTTCTGGTGTGCAGACATGCACGCCCTGGGGGGCTTGAGGCGGTACCCGGGAGGATACCCGGGTACCGGTGCTGTTTTTGGCCAAAAACAGACACCAAGTACCGCACCCAGGGCCTGTTGGCGGTGTAAGAGCTGAGAATGCTCTTCACTGATACTCTTAGTGGAACAGTCGGAACAAGGCCTTTTTGCCTTGGAGAGAAATTCTAGTGCCACGGTCGGATGAATTGCTAGCATCGGTAGGAGAAGAACTCTTGTAAGTACAACTAGAATCATCAGAAAGAGGAAGAGGAGAAATGAGAAAGCAGAGAAGGGAATGACATACCTAGCATCGGTAGGAGAAGAACTCTACCGAGCTAGGAAGGGAAGGAGATGTGGGAGACTAAATACAAGGCAGGAGAGGCTTATGTAATCTTGTGACAGGTTTGTGTAAGCCTGTGAGGAGCAGGGCTTACAGGCGGGTACCGGAGGAGTGGTGGCGGTACCCGCCAACGGGTCCCGGGTACCGCCTAACGGGTACCGCAAGGCCATCTTTAAGAAAAGCTGAAGTTGCATTTTTTTGCTTTCCTTTCCTTTACTTCATGCTCACTCTGTTTTCAGCAGGGTTCATGATTCAAATTCACATCAAATTTTGAAGCCCATTTTAAGGTGGTCATGATATCATACTTTTTCAAAAAAGAAAAAAAAAGAAGTGGTGTGGATTGTTCAGAAGCCCCCAAATCAATCCAACTCATGAATATTTTGTCTAATATATGTTGTTGATAATGGCCTTGAAATTTGCACCAACAATTCATAAATTTCAATCATGATGATGAACCCTGTTATTGAGTTCTCAATTATAATGGTATCTTATCAATCAATTTGCCCCTGATTAATCAATTGTTTCTTCTTTGCATTCAACGATGGTGGTTGGAAAAACAACTCCCAAATATTTCCCAGCGACTCCCATTTTGGGCAAGGGGCAGTCAGCAGGAGTTGTTCTTCCAACCCCCCCTGCGGGATTGGGAGTTGACCTTCCAATTCTTTCTTTTTTTATTTTTTGGGGGGAGAGTTGGTGCCCCAAACCCTCTTTGGCAAGTGGAAGGTTTGGGAGTTGCCTCCCTGCCACTGGCTGGGAGGGATTCCCTCCGATTATCAAGACGGTACAGTCTCAATGACCAGAAGGAATCCCTTCTACAGTCTCAACAACCAGAAGGGATATACAAGTCTCATAGTGAAATGGGAAAGCTGGTGTATAATGGTGAGAAAGTCCAATATTGGTCGAATGGCACAAAATCTCCACTAAAGACTGTCAGATGCAGCCCACACCAAAAACTGCACATTACTTTAGTCCCTCCTTTGGAGATACTTTGTGCCAGCTGTGGGTCAATACAGTTGCCTATATTGGTAAAGCATTGTAAATTAATTGAAAAGTGTTACTTCACAATGTGGCATTTTTTCAGTAACAATAACATCAAGGAGCCCAAAAGAACTGTTGATAACAGCAACGATGAAACAATGCGATACGATGCGATAAATCGCCCTGTATCGGTATTGCATCGTTTTAGCAATACACGCTTAAGCGATACCGATGGATCGCATTGCTTAAGCGATGCATCGCATCGCATCGGCTTTGCGATGCGATACCAATACCAATGCATCGCTTAAGCGATGCGATGCATGTATTTATCGCCCGTATCGGACACATCGGGTCAAAAAAGCATGTGTATTTTTAAAAAAAAAGAAGGATGGGAAAAATAAAAAAAAAAGAATACTAATGGAAAATTGCGCCCTCTTACCGGTAGCATCAAAATAAAAAAATTGG